AGGAATAGAGTCAGATCTTACAAAATAAAATGTTTTACATTTATGAACTAAAAATAAGACAGAATATTTAATTTATTTGTTCTCCCAAAACTCTTCAAGAGAATAAGGGGAAATTTTAATCAAATACTGTTTCAGACAATTTTTAAACTTTTTTGTATCATTTTCATTTAGAAGTATTTTTGGAAGATGGGACATAAATTTATTTCCTGCGAATTTTGTTTTCTTTTTATAAAATTCTAGATTGTGTCTATCAATTTGAGATTGAGAACGAGTGTTATAATTATTAATTTTGTTTGATACCTGAGTTTTTGTAATATTTTTTGCATAAATAATAGTTTCCAAGATATATAGTCCATGAACAGTTAGTATTCCAAGATCGGTAAAAATATGTTTTACCGAATCTTTCCTTTTCAAATTAAACATTGCCCTAATTGCCCTTTTCTGGTACGATAAAATCCGTTTTATGTTTTTTGATGTAGTTGCTCCATATATGCTGATTCCATAAGCTAAATTAGAATGAACTAAGGCATAATATACAGGGTGTTGAAAATGTCTGGAACCAGCATTATATCTGGTGAGTGGTTAAAGAAATACAACTGATATTTTGTGTACGGATATACTATGGTTTTACCTATCTTTTGGTGCCTTATGACATTTTTTACCACTTATAGGGAACGTCCTGTGGAGGATGCAGTAAAAAGTTTTAATGGAAGCCTATGGTAAATGATACATCGTTTTAAAGGCCATTTTTTTCTGAGTACGGAGCCACAAGTTTCATCTCAAAAGGACCACCCTAGCAAAAATGGTGACTGTTTGAAGTTTTTGAAAATAATTGAATTTTAAATTTCAAACAGTCGCCATTTTTGCTAGGGTGGTCCTTTTGAGATGAAACTTGTGGCTCCTTACTCAGAAAAAAATGGCCTTTAAAATGATGTATCATTTACCATAGGCTTCCATTAAAACTTTTTACTGCATCCTCCACAGGACGTTCCCTATAAGTGGGTTTTTAAATTTCAAACAGTCGCCATTTTCGCTAGGGTGGTCCTTTTGAGATGAAACTTGTGGCTCCTTACTCAGAAAAAAATGGCCTTTAAAATGATGTATCATTTACCATAGGCTTCCATTAAAACTTTTTACTGCATCCTCTACGGGACGTTCCCTATAAGTGGTAAAAAATTTCATAAGGCACCAAAAGATAGGTAAAACCATAGTATATCCGTATACAAAATATCAGTTGTTTTTCTTTAACCACTCACCAGATATAATGTTGGTTCCAGACATTTTCAACACCCTGTATTGATATTAATGTTTTTAAGCTGCAAACTTTATACATTTGTCTTAAAGCAGATACTCCTGAAGACATTTTTTTTATAACATGATCAACATGTTTGTTTCAGGCTAGATTTTTATCAATTATTAAACCAAGAAATTTTGTATGTTGTACCTGTTGTAATTTATAATCTTCTAAGATTATGTCTGGATTTAATTTGTTTTTGTTTTGTTTTGTAGAAAATGATACAAAATTAGATTTTTCAGGGTTTAAAAGAAGGTTTTTGCTATCTAAGAATTTTTTTATGATGGAGAGACTGACCAATGATGATGCCTCAATACTTTCTTTTGAATTTCCACAAATGGTAATATTAGTATCATCAGCATACAAACAGGCCGCCCCGCCCACAGGCATCAAGTCCGGCAGACCCCTCAAGTATATTAGGAACAAGAGGGGCCCCAACACCGACCCCTGCGGAACTCCATGGCGGACCATCTGCATCTGTGAATTAAACTTTTGGATGTAATTATATTTACTTGAGAAATCTGATTTATAATGTTCTATCTCAACATATTGTTGCCTAAGAAATAGGTAGGATCTAAACCAATTTAATTCTTTGTCATGAATACCTAATTTTGATAAAGTGTCGATAAGATTTTCATGCGATACACTATCAAATGCCCTTGTTAAATCAAGAAAAATGCCAATTACTTTTTCTCTCTTATCCACTGCATTTATTATACTTTCAATAAATTCAATAACTGCTAATTAATACTAAGATACATTATAACTAAGATTGGTTAATACTAAGGCTGTCAAAACAAAAGATATAGTTATATGCATGAAAAGAAAAACAGAACTAAAAACTTTCTTTACACATCATTTTTACATGGGCTTTCTCGTAATCTAGGTCCTGATGGTACAACGGAGGTAGAAATTGATCCTCGAACTGGCGTTTAAAATCTCCATACGAGCGCCAACTACCGCGACAGTTACGGTGCCAAAGCAAAGCCGGGCCGTGAAGAAGTTCCGGCAGCGCCTTCGTCACTTCGTTGAGGTCGATCGAGTAGGCTTCCGCCAACTCCTCCAGACGTTCCAGAAACGAGACCGGGTCCTTCTTGCCGTCAAACCGCAGATTCCACTTGCGAACCCGATTGCACAACGACGGCGCGTCGTCTCCCACTCTCGTCTCACCCCACGGGTTGGGGTTGTCTGGACGGGAGGTTGAGAAGCCGGGTTGGAATCGCGACGTCCATGGGTCCTGATTGGGTTGTGACCACTGGTTTGTCCGGTCACCGAAATCGTAACGAGACGTCGGGGCTTGCGACTGGAAGGCGTACGGTTAAGGCAGGGTAGTTTCGTAGGTCGTCAAGTAAGCTGTTGGACGTTCGTCGGGTCTATCAAACGTAGCGCGATAGTCGTGCTCCGCCGGTGGTCTGAAATGTGGAGGCCGTGACGGAATATCTTGTCCATGTGACGGGACGTTATCCGGCAGCCTCACCAACGTCGTGAGAGTTCGTCGAACGGACTCCGAATCGGCGTTTGGCGGGAGTCCCAGTATTTCTCGAACGCTGGCCATCTCCTGGTGTGTTGAAGGAGGTGCCAGCCACTGTGGTCGAAATCGTGTATCGTAGGCTGTAGAGGCAGTAGGCCCCGATACCGCAATCGCCGTCGGGTTCATCGGCTGACCGATGCTTCCCAACGGGTTCTTCCAATAATCGCAAAAACGTTTGCGGAGCTCTGCGACGCTACCCTCAGTATCTAGCTGATATTTTGTCATCTCAGCAATCAGGTGCTGTTTGCTCAGAGTATGAATCCAGCCGACGCGTGGGTCGTCCAACGGTGATTTCGGGATGCTCTCCATCGTCCAAGGTATTTGGGAGATCGTCGTCGTGGTCGTGGTCGTCGTTGACGTTTGAATTCCCACCGTGGATATCGTCACGTGGCCAATCGGTAGCGTATCGAGTCGGGCAATAGTCGTCGGGGTACTAGAAGTCGTAGATTTAGTTTCTCCAGTCATTTCATGTAAATTTTAAAGTCAAAACCGTGTTTTTTGAGTCCCTGTTCGGGCGCCAGAGATGTGACGCAAAATTCTAGGGGGGGAATAAACTAGTATTCACCAAAGTCAGGCTAGGCCTACCCTAGAACCGGCCACACTCAAATTTCTTCCCCGGAGTGCTCAGAAGGAGCCGAGAAAAATCCAGGGCTCGATACGAAGTTGTCACGGCTTTGACTGATCAATTTATTTAAATTTAATCGAAGGCTCAGAGCTCTAGAAGCGCTCAGGAAATCCTGCAGACGCCCAGTTGGAGCTATATTATCCCAGCATTCGTAAAAGTGTTTTGGAGAATTTTGCCTAACTTTTAGAATGACTCTGTAGGGCCAACGAGTATTCAATCTTAGCCAATGTGATGTAAATACTCGTATTAAAATGCGACTAATTAGTTTGAGACGTTGGTAATCGATCCAATATTGAATGTAAGGTAAAACAATTCCTACAGAGTCGTCGGGGCCTAATTAATATAACTGAACGGATAATTTAACGTGGGATGATTTAAAATAAATTTAGTATTAATTTACGTAGCTGATTGTTCAAATCAGCCTGCTCCCAAGACTTGATTCTTTCACCCGCCAAAGACGGGGCTTAGAACTTAGACGACAAGTCTCGGGCTATTAAAACGTCGAATCGATTAAAATAATTTAAGTAATAATTCGTTAGGCGGATGAAACAAATGTAATTTCGTGGACAATTAATTCAAAACCAACCGTAAGATAACCCTCCGCTAGAGTCTGTGAGTTTTCTGCAGCAGAGGAAGTATTAAATCATTTATATACAAAATTTAGCTAAAATTATGTTCAGTTTTGGTTAAAAAAGTGATTAGTTTGTGTATAAAAAACTATTACGATACTTTATTTTATCGATTTCCGTATTCCATGCTGTGTCATCAACATCAATATTAATATTTTAATGTCTTTTACTTTGTGTGCTCTAACTGTGGGGTCGAAACACAACAACTGCTGGTTGGCAGTAGCTGGTAGGTAACGAGCACCCGGGGTTTGGGGTCGAGAAGTGAAAGTTGTGCTCGGTCGATCACGTTTGGAAAACACCCTCGGCTGTCAGCCCTAACTCACCCACCTGTCACCCGAGTGTGGGAACAACTTTCTGTCTAAAACTGGTAGAACAACGTCCTGCTTAAAATCAAAATGACCCACGTAGTTCGGACCAACTCGGCCCAGCGCGCCACCCTCAGTTCGGACCAAGGCCCTAGGTACCACAGACTCTTAAATACTAAATTTCACGAAAAAAAAGTTAGTGTCAGTTGCAAAATGAGTTGATTTAAAGTAAGAGTAAACATGTTGTTTAATCAGTGCACCTCATGTAACTGTTTGAAACATAAGGAATTTTCGTGCCGGGTAACTGCTAGTTGTTTATACAGTACTAATAGTTATTTCAAAAACTGTAAAATTTTGTAACATATAGAACATTTTTCTGGAATAAATCATCATTCATTCATTCATAGCTGTGTCATTTCAGATTTAGCCATATCAGTCAGCAATGGCAGAACTGCTACTCCTAGTTTACCATAAAAATAGTGACGTTATTGTTATTTTGATCCTAATTAAATTACCTCTCATTTATTAGCATGTATATAAGCATGTTTTTTTTCATAAATTGATATGTTTAGAAATTAATGAGTTGTTACATTTTAAATTTATGCATATTTTTTAGGCTCAGGAAGAACTAATCAATAAGAAACCTAAATTGGACTGCCCTAACTGTGTGGGAGTTGTTGGTAAAATGGAACAGAACTTCCGAGGAGCAAGCAGGGATCATGTGCTCAATATGATGTTGGAGGTGCGTTGTGGTTTTATATACCAAATACTATAAATAAGTAGGGGTGTGCGATGCAGCATATTTTTTCCGATTCAATGCATCGATGTGATTCAAAGAATTTTGATTAGAATCGATAAGATTCGATTCAATGCAGCACGGCATGATTTTCTTTAAAAATTAAATACAACATGTGTTTCTGTAATGGATCCTTTACCTTAAAAAAATTAAAGTAAAAAATTTACTAAATAAAATTATAAACAAGAGGATAGTTGCTGACCTAACCTCACTAATAGACACTGCTAATTTTATGTTTGGCCTAAGGAAATTCACCCTTCACTAACAATTAGAATAAGTCTATACATCAATAAAGCAATCGTTAAGTTTATTTATTGACCTGTATTAAATAAAATAGAGTTTATTTTATGATTAGTCCAGGCGCTAAACGGGTTGAGTATGCACTGAAAGTCTGACAAAATTTGACTTTTGATTATTGTTGGGGACATCTAGTAGATGAAAAAAATCGATGATGTCGCATTTCTAGGGTGGTCACAACTCGGGGGGGAGGGGGGGAAGTTGCGTGGGTCATCGGTTTACGTTTCCGCGTCTAACACACAAACGGTTAATGATAGAAAGGTGAATTAAGCGTCTATCTACGCCTAAATATATTGTCTTTTAAAAAGATTATTACAACCTTTCTTCTATCTCTTATACTTTAGGCGCTAATCAACATTTATTGCAAAAAATAAAATTTAAAAATACTTTAAAATGAAATATCGGAAATATTGCGCTTGTTTAGGGCATGTTACAAACTATTTATGGTTAGAAAAACTAACAAGTAGTACAACAACACCAAGTTTAAAGAAATCCGTGCAAAAACAACAGAGCTACGTTGATTTCAGTAAGAGTAAACGTGGGAAATTCGTAGTAGTATCGAGGCGCGCATGGATGGTACACGTAGCCCACAGTCAATATAGGTTTGATGTTGTAAGTAACTATGGGAAAGCTGAATTTGTCTATGCTGTTAGACCATGTTGAGATTATCATTTTCCCGAAAGTCAACACTCCTCCACCCTTGTGCTTTCCTCTAACCCCCCTTTTTAGATAAATTTAAAGCCTCTCAGCAATTAAGCTATAACTTTAAAACGGGTAAGGATAATAATGCAATATTTTATTAATAATTTTGCGTTACGATAATCTACAAAAAGAATTATTAGATGAATATATATTAAAAAGGAATTATTATAGATTTCTGAAGAAGAAGAAGAAGAAAATGTGTTCATTGTAATAAAATATCAATACAGTGTTTTTTATTTAAATGCAAAGAACAATGGTCAAAGACCGTCTGTTTTGTGTTAGACACACTGATTTTAAAATATTTTAAAACAGTTTAAAAAAATTCCATGAATCACATACAATTATTCATAAAATAAACTGATTTCCACTACAGAACATACACAAATAGCACTACATACTAATAGATCAGATATCAATTGAATGAATAATAAAATTTAAATGTAGCCTACTGAGAATCTGAATTTTTCTTCAAACAGTTAATAATTCATAAAACAAACCTGTTACTTTTATAATTTACTTTGATAGATACTTAACAAACAATATTTTATAAACTTTTTAAATTACATAGATCTTTAAAATTTTTGTATTGATATCTCAATTCTTAAATTTAATAATTATACTCCATTATCAATTCCCACCCTTTACTCCACGCCTCTTTAAGATAATTTCCAAGTGCCCGCCAATCTTTGCCATTTAAAAATTCAAAAAAACTCATATTCATTTAAATATAATTTGTTAGACCAAAATTGACGTATCTTTTTTTAAATTGGACATTCTGCTATAAAAGGGTACACGTTTCATCCCGGTTGAGATTACATAGTGAACATACATAAATTTTATTTTCCATATAGAGTTAACTTTTTATTAGACGACCCCTTTTATTTGTAAAAAATGTTTTTAGGGATGGTTACGAATAAAAAATATATGTCCACCATTTTCCAATATGGCCAACAACTTTGTTATTTCTTATGGAATACGCTGTATTTTAGTATTCTTTTAGAATTTAAAAGCTATTTTTTTATTCGTGACATTTTTTCTCTAAACCTACCCCATTTAGGAGTTACAGCGTGTTATATCTAAAAGAAAGGCTTGTGGTGTACATTCGGCATTCTGTAGCTCATAAACGAGTAAGTTGAGAGAGAAAGTGCAAAGAATAAATAAGTCACATATAAGTCCTCGTTCAAAAAAATATATAAAATACGTTAAAAAATACTGATTTTGTTGTTTTAAAAATGGCCACCATTTTCAAAAATGCTAGCTTACTTTGATATTGGAACAATTTATTTTATGGTTTTTGTTAATGTAGATGTGATTTGAAAACTTGTTTATTCTTTGTATTTCCGCTCTTAAACTTACTCGTTTATGAGCTACAGGATGCAGGATGTACTCACAAACCATTTCTTTTTCGATGTAACTCCTAAACAAGTAGCTTTAGAAAAAAATGTCAAGAATAAAAAGGTTTAAAAATTGTGCGTTTACATTCTAAAACAATCATAAAATACAGGGTATTCCATAGGACTAACAAAGTTGTCAGCCATATTGGAAAATGGCGAACATATTTTTAAAATTCGAAACCACTAAAAAAACAACTTAAAATAAAGGGTAGTGTGCCATAAGAAGTTAACTCTATATCTCATAATAAAAAAAGTTATCTATTGGTTCACTTTAGGTGAGACACCCTGTATAATAAAATGAGGCTCTGGCGTACAGCAGCAAATGCACGATATTCATTCATATGTATCCACTACAGTCTGTATAAGTACTGAATGAGCTACATAACGTTAATAAAGCGGCAAATTCAAATACAAAAACCATAATATACGTAATTTTTTTTCATTGTTGCGGTGCACAAAAAAGCCAGAGTCTGTAAAATCAATATACTGTACCTACTGTACCCATCTATAACATCTATGTATACTGTATCTATAACCACTATATGCAAACAAACTGTTAATAACTATGTATCATTTTAAAATGTAAACTATGCACCCCAAATTTTGTATCAAACATTTTGTTGTGCGACCTCGTATAAAAAATCTACAAAGAAAAGTTTCATAAATTAATCCGTAAAAAATATTTTTTCATGTTTATGATATTTTTTAACTATGAATATTTAGGATACCATGGTAAATATACTTTTTGTAGAATATCGTAACGCAAAATGATTAATAAAATATTGCGTTATTATCCTTACCCGTTTTTAAGTTATAGCTTAATTTCTAAGAAACTGTAAATTTATCTAAAGGGGGGGGGGTAGAGGAAAGAACAAAGGGGTAGGAGTGGGGACTTTTGGGAAAATGATAATCTCAACATGGTCTAACGCATAGACAAATTCAGCTTTCCCATAGTTACTTACAACATCAAACCTATATTGACTGTGGGCTACGTGTACCATCCATGCGCGCCTCGATACTACTACGAATTTCCCACGTTTACTCTTACTGAAATCAACGTAGCTCTTTTGTTTTTGCACGGATTTCTTTAAACTTGGTGTTGTTGTACTACTTGTTAGTTTTTCTAACCATAAATAGTTTGTAACATGCCCTAAACAAGCGCAATATTTCCGATATTTCATTTTAAAGTATTTTTAAATTTTATTTTTTGCAATAAATGTTGATTAGCGCCTAAAGTATAAGAGATAGAAGAAAGGTTGTAATAATCTTTTTAAAAGACAATATCTTTAGGCGTGGATAGACGCTTAATTCACCTTTCTATCATTAACCGTTTGTGAGTTAGACGCGGAAACGTAAACCGATGACCCGCGCAACTTCCCCCCCTCCCCCCCCGAGTTGTGACCACCCTAGAAATGCGACATCATCGATTTTTTTCATCTACTAGATGTCCCCAACAATAATCAAAAGTCAAATTTTGTCAGACTTTCAGTGCATACTCAACCCGTTTAGCGCCTGGACTAGATGTAGTATTGTTACTTAATTTTCACATTTATATTTGTTGGCTTTCAATACTTCTGGTTCATTCTTAAATCAGCATGAGAACCAAAAAAGTTGATAATCAGTGTTTACTGTCTATTTGATACATTATTGCATGCTATGAATAAATAGATCTGAAATTAAAAATAAAGATTGAAATTAATAAAAGTGTGTGTAAACTAAAAAGTTCAAAGAGATCAGTGAGGCCTACCAAAAAGATAATAGTTATTAATTTAGAACTTAAATAATATATAATGTCATTTTCTCACTATTTATATCTTCAACATTTGTTAAACTATGAAAATAAGTCACTAAGTCTAGCTGAAAACACATTAATAAGTTGCAATATCTTTTCAATACAGAATAATAAAACAAACCACATTTTACAAACATTTTATTTCTTAACTTTTTCCCTTGAACAGGGTGAGGAGGCCAACATTTTTTTAATGACTATCAACAAAAATTAGGTACGGTATCAATTATAATTTCACGAAAGCCGCTGATGAGTGAGCTGTGAAGAGCAGATGACAGAATTACGTCACTACCACAACAACTCAACTCTACTGCGATTGCGAACTGCGGGTGTAGTGTGAAGTGAAGCACCCCCTCCCCTGTCTAACGGGACAAGGGGTATGAAAAGAGAAAGTTTGTCAGAATGGCAGACTTGCCCTTTGTAAAGTCTGGTTCACATGCCCTCCCTCACCCTCAGTCGCTTGCATAATTATACTAAACAAAAGTTTCTGAGTGTTAGTTTTAAAATAAAGGTTTGAATTCAATGACTAAAGCATAGATCTGATAAACTTTACTCTAATTTATAAATGGGCTTATCAGAATTTTATCAGCCATTTGTCAGTTTTTTTTATTTCTTTCCTTTTATATGTAAAGATATCTTTTAATTTAGCCTTCAAGAAAAGAAAGATTATGTTTTGTTTGGGACTTAAATCTCCTTGAAAGAGAGAAAAGACTGCACGTTTGATACAATTAATTTCAATAAGTTAATGTGCAACTATGCGATAATTTTTTCTAAAAAAAAATAACAGCCTACAGTGTAAAAGAATCGTGTGCACTGTGCAGCAAAATACGATTCTTCGGGTGCTTTTAACAAACATTCCATTGTTTTAATTAGTAACAAATGTGTTTATGTTCCTGATTATACCAAGAACAAGGCTGGGCAGAGTGGATTCACTGTGAACCAGGCGGGTACGACGTAACTACAACCATAGATAAAACATAGCCTACTCCCTGTGTTGGTTAGTCTATGCTACAACGATCGATTGGAACAATAATTGATGTTTTGAGCCAAAAATATTCATATTGATATATAATCGGAAAAATTTATGTTTTATTAAAATATTATATAAAGCTATATGTCAAGATTTAGTTAACTGACATAATTGAACGCCAAATCTAGGTCTTTGTAAGACAAAAGAAAATCACACCGTTTTAAACTTTAACCTAATTTTATACTTTTTATAAACAAACACGTCCTACATAACGGTTCTCGATATTTATCAATGTATCTTATCTAAACCCTTCCCACAATAATAGACTCACATACAAATAACGACATCAAAGCAATCGTCACTTGCTCCATTGAAACACGAACGTCGATTGGCTGACATGACAGTGCAGCGTGGCCTCTCGACCAATGAGAACTCTTGTTGCATACTTTGATTTATCTTAGATAGTCAACATTCACCATTCATTATAATATTACAAAATCGACATGGACTATGCGTATGGTGTTTTTCAATCAATACTTATGTTATAGTAGCACTTAAAACTTCACTTAAACTCTTAAACTAGGTAGATAGTACAGATATAATATGGATCTACTTTTTGGTGAAATAGGCAAGTGCAAGCCTAACCCTCTGACTTTGACGATGTTGTAATTGAATCAAATTTTCCTAATGATGCGTAATGCAGGGATGAAACTTAACATTTAGACAAGTTTAGGTTATTTATTTTGTTCTAAAAATAAAAATAATACATTTAATAAATTCTGACTGTCTGATATCGACATCTTGAAGTGTAGATTGTATTGTGTTGTGCAATATCATCTGCCTGCAGAGAGAACAGCCGAAGCTAAACTTTAGCTGTTTCGAACTAAATAGTGTGCTAAGTTGGTTACTAAAGTTGTTAGCGTGATTACAAAAATAATAGCTATCAAATAAATAAATGTTAAAATAAAATATCTATCCATCCCTGTCGGGTGTCGGTATCGGCGGAATCGGGCGAAATCGACGTTTGGCAATCGATTCTTGATACCGATATTCCTAATATTGGCCATGTCCGAGTATCGGTGGTAGCGATAATTGACACTTCCCTATCTAAAACTCATTTTGGAGTCCTAAATTAGTTTTAAATATGCATCGGGACGTAATCGTTGCATCGGGACTTAATCGATGCATCAGTCTTTTTCGATGCATCAAGGCCAAATCGATGCATCGTGATTTCGATGCATGCTGAATCGAATTGCGATTCGATGCTTAGAATCAAATCGAAATTTCGATGCATTTTCGATGCATCGCACACCCCTATATATAAGTTTGCAGAGTTTTATTTTATTGTGCATAATTTTAGCTAGCAATGTATCTTCAATATGGGACTTGTTTGTAGATTTGTGGAGGGATGGGCAGCTTCTCAGACATGTGCTCTGCCTCTGTTATTGTACATTTCAATGAGCTGTATGAGCAGATCGGAGACAGCTTCTCCTCTGAGGGAGTCTGTCACTTGGCTGGCGTGTGTCACCAAAGATATCACAACCACTCAAAGGTTAGACCATTCTTAGCTAGAATTATGTTTTAACTAGGTGTACAATGCAGTTGTCTGCTTGCAATATTGAGCGGAGCCAGCATATTAATTCAATGTCAATGATATATTTGGTTCACATTTTAAATAGAATGCCTATTTGCAGTAGGTATCCAAAGTCAATCATAAGTCAGGATTAAGTGAATTAATTGTCTACTTGCAGGAACCATATTCTATGTTTCATCCGGTTCTCATAAGTTAAATGTCTACTTGCAGTATCCAATGCCAATGGCATATTTGGTTCGCATAAATGGAATGCCTATTTACATATTCTAAAGTCAATGGTACGTCTGGTTCACGTAGACGGATTGTTTACTTGTAGTATCCAAACTCAATGGTACATGTAAATGAATTGTCTACTTGCAGTATCCTAAATCAATGGTCCATTTATTTTGTTCACATAAATAAAATGCCTAATTGCAGTATCTAAAGTCAATAGTAGGCAGAGGCCTACTTCTGCTTCACTTATATGGGATTTCTATGTCCATAAAAAGTCAATGATACGTCGGGTTCACGTCAACGAATTGTCTAATTGCAGTATCGAAACTATGAGTGTTATATTTGTTTCACATTAATGGAATTCCTATTTGTAGACTGCAAATAGGAATTACAGTACAAATTCAAAGTCTACATTAATGGCACGTCTTGCTCACATAAAATACTGTAATAGCTATTTACCTTACAAGTGTAGTAAGAGCGTTTTTACATCACGCAGGTGAATGTTGTTTCATTACCTCACCGAGTGAGTTTCTTTTCAACTTAGCATCACTCGAGAAGTAAAGAAGTTGTATACATCACGCTTGGGATAGGGAAGTTTACCATGGCGGGTTAGGTAAAAGTTATTTACCTACGACCGTTTTTTAAAGTAGCCATTTCAGTTCAGTTCTTAGAATTGAAAAGTTTCACTTAACAGCTGTTTACTTTCATATCAGCATAGTTTCATTTCATATCAGCATAGTTTTTCTCATATCAACACGGGTAACGGACCAATGAGGTTCAAGGATTGAGAGAAAAGAAGTACAATTGTAATACTTCGAACGTCAACTAATCAGCTGATCATCTGATCAGTTGACAATTTTAATTGTTGATCCGGCTTGTTCCTGTTGATACTCGCATATTTTTAACCAATGTTGGTGGAAGTTAAATGAAGGTTGATTTTAAAATATCAGTTAGTGAAAGTGATGTTGACGAGATAGAGAGCACAAACTGTTTGTGCTAATCTTTTGCCACCAAAATCAAAACAAAGGTACCATATGCAATTACATACCAGCAATTCATTAAATGGACAAAACAAAATATGGTTAAATTAATAAATGAAAATGTTCTTCTGGTTTATTTTGAAAACCGTATTATTTAACAAAGTTTTACAAACACGTAATTACAGTAGAACCTCTTTAATCCGAACCCCTGTAATCCGAACGTCCACTAATCCGAACGCCTCATTGCTGTACTCTATACACAGTACAGTAGTTCTTTATTGTATGTATAGGGTACTGTATTTATTGATGTACGCACCGTAGTTATTTCAATTGTAATGTATAGTAGGTTATTCCTTATGTTTACTACTGTATTAAATAAACACTGTATTTTACTTTATAAAGCATTTTACGCTGTTCCCTAGCTTTGTTATGTAAAAACAACAACATTTTCTGTAATCCAAACCATTCAATAATCCGAACTACCCCCGGTCCCAATTAGTTCGGATTAAAGAGGTTCTACTGTACATGAAATCAGCTGATTATACAATAAGTCGTTGCATCACTTTCAGTGACAATGACAATAAACGAAAACATAACCTCTCTAGGAAGTTATGAGTAGTGATTGTTAGTAATAAAAAACCAGATTTTTAGTAATTAAAAAACGGTCATAGGTAAAGTAGTGTACGCAACTCGCGTTAATAGTCTTTACGCAATCGTTGCGTAAACTACTATTACAGTATCCAAATGCAATAGTGCATCAGCCTAATTCCGGCAACCCTTTTTTTTTTTTGTGGTTTTGGTATTGCATACCCCTAGCTACTTTGGCCAGGAGACCTTTTATAGCACCCTTTAATTCATTCTGACAGCCCTAGACTTCTCAAGTAGCCCAGGAGCTGAAAGACACCCAGCTTCCTTATCTCTGTTGGTTCCAGAAATAACCTCCCCAGAGATGTAAGCCTTCTATGGGCCAACGCTGGACAGTCCAGCCATAAGTGTTCTGATGTTTCTACCTCGTTCTCGCAGAACATGCAGAGGTCTGTCTGTGACCTCCCTATGGTCCTGAGATGTTTCCTAATAGGACCGTGCCCTGTTAACACTCCTACTAGTAGACTAATGTCCCCTTTCTTAAGGCTCAGCAAGCCTTTCCAGCCTTTATCAGTGGGGTCAATTAGTAATTTAGACGTCCTCATACCTGGATGGTTCATCCAGGCCAGAGCCTTTTGAGCCTTAACCCAGTCTTGGACTTTGGCTACTCCTGAGCTTATGGGGGTACAGTAGAGTCCCGCAAACTCGGCTCTCGATAACCCGGCAGTCTGGATAACTCGGCCATCACCTGGCTTAGAAAATTAGTGATTTTTTGAGTCCGTGTTAAAAATGGACTCAAGCCAGCTCAAGCAAATCATTCGCAACTCATACCAAGGAATTGTTGTACTATATCTGATGACTTAAATACTGACTTGTATTATAAATATAAATAAAAAAGGCGGTTAAAAAGCTTAAAAAATTGTATTTTTCTTATTTTAAACCCTTGTTCCTGATAACCCGGCATTTCACAAACTCGGCATCCTTCCAGTCCACATTACGCCGAGTTTGCGGGACTCTACTGTACCACAGTAGGGTTCTGGTCCTGACAGTTGGTCTTCCGCACCCTTCCTGGCTAATGCATCGGCTTTTTCGTTCCCCTCATGCCCCGAATGTCCAGGAACCCAAGACAATTTGACTTGGTTTCGCTCTGCTAACTTTTTGAGGGTGTTTTTACATCCTTTTACTGTTTGTGACTGTGTCACACATGACCCCAGCGCCTTCAATGCTGCCTGGCTGTCAGAGAGGATAAGGATTTTCCCCTTACTTAAATTCTTGCCAATAATGTTATTAGCACAGCACTCAATCGCCAGGCTCTCTTATTGAAATACTGTTGTTGTTCTGCCCAAGGCCAGAGATATTTTGGTTTTTTTACCATACACTCCCAACCCTGATCTCTCATCCTTCCGACTTCCATTGGTGTAATAGACCAAGCATGCTCTGTCAAAGCTGAAGTTGCACTGTTGCCAGTTGTCTCTTCCTCCTATTGCAGCTTGGTAAGGAATCTCGAAGTCGTATTCCTTTGTCATGAGGTCTGGTATGCCTAGCTCCATGTCCATGCTTGGGAATCCCTTTAGGATGGACTGCCTCTGTAGATTCAGCTCGCCCCTGCTTCCCATTTTTAGGGCAGATATAGCTGCACATTTCTTGACTTCCAGCCCTAGTGGGAGCATGTCGAGTATTGCCTCCATTGCAGCCGTGGGACAGGATTTCATGGTCCCACAGATCCCCGAACACGCTAGCCTTTGCAGCTGCTGCAGTTTCCTGCCAGCTGCTGTCTGCTCTGCCTTAGGCCACCATACTAAGGCTGCATATGTAACCATTGGTTTGACTATGGCTTCATAAGTTCATTATGTAAGCTTGGGACTAAGTCCCCATTTCTTCCCAAAGGTTTCTCTGCAGGCACCAAAAGCTCCTGTTCCTTTTGCAAGTACATAGTCAAAGTGCCTGCTCCAGGTCTGTTTCTGGTCCAGGTAAACTCCAAGGTATTTTGTTTCCTTCACAAGTTTTACACTTTTCCCCTGAATTTTTGGGGCTGTTAGGTTTGTTCTCCTTCTCGTAAAGGAGATTATCTCTGTTTTGTCAGGGTTAATTGTGAGCCCCTCTTTGGAGCACCACCCCTCAATGAAGCTAACGGCTGTCTGTGTGAGGTTGTTCACTGTGGCTGCGTGTTTTCCTCTGACAGTCAGCACTAGGTCGTCTGCAAAGGCTTGGAGGTCTATGTCTCTCCTATCAGCCTCTCTCAGTAGATCGTCCACCACAAGAGCCCACAGCAAGGGTGAGATAACTCCTCCTTGAGGGCATCCCTGTCGAGCTATGATAGCTGTCGAGTAGCCACCCAATTCTGCCGTCACCACCCTGCTCTTGAGCAGAGCATTAATCCAAGCTGCTACGTCGGGGGAGATGCCCCTGCTTCTGACTGCAGCCTCTATAGAGTTGTAACTCACGTTGTCAAAAGCACCCTGTATGTCCATGAAGACCCCTGCCAGAAGTTCCTGGTGTTCTAGGGTTTCCTCGATCTTTGCCACTAGGGTGCTTAGGGCCGTCGTTGTTGATTTGCCCTTCATGAACGCATGTTGGCTCGCACTAAGGGGGTTGCTATCTAAATATGCATCCCTAATATGGCGGTTTATCACTTTTTCCATAGTCTTTAACATGAAAGACGACAGGCAGATTGGCCTGTAGGATTTAGGCTGGGCCTGGTCTCTACCTTTTTCCAGTAGAAACGCCACCCTTGATTTCCTCGAACATATTGGGATGTAACCTAGGGCAAAGCTGCCCTTGAACAAAGCTATCATATGATTTAAAAGGACCTCTAGTCCTTCTTGTATGAGAGCTGGGAATATTCCGTCCCCGCCTGAGGACTTGAAAGGGCTGAATGATTCGACAGCCCACTTCACGACCTCCGGCTTGAACAGCTTGCTCGAAAATCTTCTAGCCAATGCAATGTCTCTAGGTGATTTCCTATTCCAGGGTATCATGTGTTGTCCTGTTGAATTGCTCAGTGGGGTGTTCCCTGGGAAGTGGGTGTTCATAAGGACTTCAAGAGTCTCCTCCATTCCTATTGTGTGACTCCCATCCTCCCGTTTTAATGTGCCAAGCGGCTTAGGTACATCTCTCTGAAGAGCTTTTTGCAGTCTAGCTGCTTCTGGTAGGTTTTGAATCCCCTCACAGAACTGCCTC